AGTGCTTGTTGGAGAGATGGATGAGAGAATGGGAGTGAGGGAATGATGGATTTATGAGTGGATAAACAGATGGATAGATACATATAAAACTGAGAGTACTTGGTAAGGCACCAAGGGAAGGAAGAAAGGAAGACTTCAAAATTTCTCCTATTGTGGGCAGTAGAGGAGGTTTCACTTAGGGAGTTAGAGAGCCAAGGAATCTCATATGGAAACTTTGCCTCCATATTTTGGGGTGATACCTGTAATACATGATAGTAAGCAGTTCACACTCAGAGAGTAAGCTGTTGTTTAAAACAGTGATCTGATTGATCCTCTCAGGCGGTACTTCTGCTTAGAGCTTCCTCTTTTTTTCTTTTGCAGGTTGGCCACACCTCGACCAGTGGGCATTACTTCTCCATCACAGTCAGGTAGAGAACATTTGTTTGCCCAAATATCTGTGTGAGATGAATAAATCTCCTTTTCCCATATAGAAGATAGTTTTCTCTCAGAGACTATAATGCAATTTTCCTAATCTTGTGTATGATATGAGAAGAACATACAACCAGATACCCATTTGTGCTGGGTTGGTTAAGCAAGGCAGGGCATGACATGGATGGCAGCTCTTCATTCCTCACTTGATTTTCTTCCAGTCACTCCACGACCCATTTCTCAGCATAGCAGCCAGGTGGTCAGGTGAGTAGGAAGCCTACCCAGCCACATGAAAACTGCTGGCAAAAGTTGGAAGATAAAAAGAAATACCTAGATATGGCAGAGGTAGGGACTGAGGAGACTTTAGGTCTATGTCAAGTTTCAACCCAGTTTGTTTTCTTTTTGTCTCACCTTATACAGTCGGTCCCCCTCTGTGGAATCTATCCCTTACAGAATGTCTGGCTTTAGTAGCTTGGGACAAGTAAGTAATATTTACCTTCTCTTCCCAGATTGAGATTTCCAATGCTAAATGAAAGCAAAGATGTCAGGCAAGAGTATTAAGCTTATATTGGTTTTGGTATAAATTATCCAATGCTATGCCTGGGCTCTGTTTTTGTTTGGCAGTGCTAAAAAGAAAAAATGTTAGAAGCTAACACAGAGAAGTGTGCCAGAGTGGCTCAGTTGGTTGGGGCTGGTTTTGGCTCGGGTCATGAAATCTTGAGCTCATGATCTCATGGGTCCTGGGATGGAGCCCCATGTGGGACTCCACACTCAGTAGGCAGTCTGCTTAAAAGATTCCTTCCCTCTGCCCCTCCCCCAACTTACTCACTCACTCTAAAATAAATGTCTTTTGGGGCGCCTGGGTGGCTCAGTGGGTTAAAGCCTCTGCCTTCGGCTCGGGTCATGATCTCAGGGTCCTGGGATCGAGCCCCACATAGGGCTCTCTGCTCAGCAGGAAGCCTGCTTCCTCCTCTCTCTCTCTCTCTGCCTGTCTACTTGTGATTTCTGTCTGTCAAATAAATAAATAAAATCTTTAAAAAAAATAAAATAAAATAAATGTCTTTTTAAAAAAGGAAGCTAACACAGAATGAATGGGATGAAAGTAGTGTAAATGTTCAATGGCTGAATTAACAGTAATAATTCATTTTGAAAGTAATAAAGTGTGTATCCTTCTTGGGCTAGCATACCTATTCTGGCAGAACAACATATGCTTCAATGTGTAGATATAGAGAAATAGCAAAGAATACAGAAGCCAGAGAATTAGGATATATTTATTAATTGATGTTTATTTTTTGTCCATCAGGGAGCCAGAGGCCTGCAGGGAAGAAGCACTCCCAGGGACTCTTATACTGGTGAGAAGGGGAAAAAAGGGTCAGAAACCAACATATTTTGTGCAGATACCAGCAGATTTCTGGTTTTCTCTATAATTATGCCATTATGCATTTTCCGTGCATAAGATAATGCCATTTGTTTTTTTCCAGACACTGATTCAAGGTATCTAGATATATATTACTACTTTTCAAATAATGATATTCCTGTTCTCAAACTAATAAGGAGAAACTTTTTTTTGAGCAATAGAAAGTCATTGAAAACCTCTAGTCGGGGCACCTGGGTGATTCAGTGGGTTAAGCCTCTGTCTTCTGCTCGGGTCGTGATCTCAGGATCCTGGGATCGAGCCCCACATTGGGCTCTCTGCTTGGCAGGGAGCCTGCTTCCCCCTCCCCCTCTGCCTGGCTCTGCCTACTTGTGATCTCTCTTTCCCTCTCTGTCAAATAAATAAAATCTTTAAAAAGAAAAAAAAAAAAAAAGAAAAGAAAACCTCTGGTCAAAGATGGAGGGTTAACTTGAGTAAATAGATTTGGATTTTTTTTTAATTGCCACAAGATGGCAGTAGAAGGTAGGTCTAAAAGGTAGGTTAACTAGCCATGGATTGTGTTAACCTGAAGGGTATCAGGCTTCTTTACTGTGTATTAAACTTAAAAATATTCCAGTGAAGAATACCCACTTAATGTCTTGTCTCTTTCCTCTTAGAACTACTTTTATTATTACTATTTTCAAGGGTATTATTCAGTCCATAGAGAATATTTAATGAGAGAGGATTTCCCTTTCTTTCACAAGAGGCAATTGTGAAATTTGCCTATTTCTTTCTGGATAACCATTTTTGAAAAACACCAAATAGTTTCCCTCCAATTCTTTCATATTCACACTTTGAAAAATGTAGAAGTTCTAGAGAATTTGTCAGGTTAGTAGTAATAGTCTCTCTTTCGTTCCTGATTTTAGTTATTTGAAGCTTTCTACTTTTTTACTTTTATTTGGAGAGCCTGGCTGAAGACTAGCCAATCTAGTTGAACATTTCAAAGAAATTACTTTTGGTTTTGTTGATTTTCTGTTTTCTGTTCTCTATTCCATTTGTTTCTGCTCTAAGCTTTATTTCTTTCCTTCTGCTTGTTTTGGGTTTAGTTCTCTTTTAGTTTAAGACAAAAGGTTGGATTATTGATTGGAGGTCTACATTTTTAATGTAGACATTTTCAGTTACAAATTTCACTCTAAGCACTGCTCTCATTGTGTCCTATAAGGTTTAATATTTTCTGGCTTTGTTTTCATTCATCTCAAAATCTTTTCTAATTTCTTTTTTTCCCCCCTCCTTTGGACCATTGGTTATTTGGCACTGTGTTGTTTAATATCAACATATTTTTAATTTTCACAGATTTCCTCCTGTTACTGATTTTTAATTTCATTCCATTGTGGTAGGACAAAATACTTTGTATAATTTAGATACTTTAAAATGTATGGCCTTGGGCTCCTGGATGGCTCAGTCAGTTAAGCATCTGCCCTTGGCTCAGGTCACCATTCCGGGTCCTGGGATGGAGTCCTGTGTTGGGCTCCCTGCTCAGCAGGGAGTCTGCTTCTCCCTCTGCCCCTTACCCAATTTGTTCTCTTTCTCTCTCTCTCTCTAAAATAAATAAAATCCTTTAAAATGTGTGTGTGTATGGGGCGCCTGGGTGGCTCAGTGGGTTAAAGCCTCTGCCTTCGGCTCAGGTCATGATCACAGGGTCCTGGGATCGAGCCCCACATCGGGCTCTCTCCTCAGCGCGGAGCCTGCTTCCCCCTCCTCTCTCTGCCTGCCTCTCTGCCTACTTGTAATCTCTGCCTGTCAAATAAATAAAATCTTTAAAAAAATAAAATAAAATAAAAAAATAAAGTGTGTGTGTGTGTGTGTGTGTCTATAAAACAACAAAGTCTTAGGAAGCAAAGGTGCAAGACTAACAGAATCGAAGAGAACTAGCGGAAAACTACTAGACTTTAGTACCCCACTTTCAGTAACAAATAGAGCAACTAGACAGAAGATAAGCGATGGAATAGAAGATTTGAACATTATATACCAACTAAATCTAACAGACTTCTTTAGCAGTTGAGCTTCTTGGAAGTGTAGGTTTTTTTTTTCCATCTAATTTAGGAAGTTGTCAGCTATTATTTCTTGAAATATTCTTTCTGCTCTTGTTCCTCTCTTCTTTTTCTAGAAATCCCATAATGCATGTGTTGATAAACTTGATGGTGTTCCACCAAGGTCTCTGAAACTCTTTTCATTTTCCTTCATTATTTTTTCTTTCTCTTCCTCACATTGGATAATTTCAGTGGACTTCAAAATGCTGATTTTTTTTTCTTCTGTTTGTGCTGATGAGCTGCTCTAGTGAAGTTCTCATTTTTATACTTTTCAATTCCAAAATTTATATTTGGTTCTTTTAAATATATTTTTTCTTTATTAATATTCTCTATTTGCTGAGATGCCATACTCATACTTTAGTGCTTTAGACATGGTTTCCAAAGATATTTGAGCATATTTAAAATAGCTGATTTAAGGGTACCTGGCTGGCTCAGTTGGAAAAGTATGCAACTCTTAATCTTGGGGTTGTGAGTTCAAGCCCTACCTTGGGTATAAGATTACTTGAAAATAAAAAATCTTTAAAGAAAAGAGGGGCGCCTGGGTGGCTCAGTGGGTTAAAGCCTCTGCCTTCAACTCAGGTCATGATCCCAGGATCCTGGGATTGAGACCCGCATCGCATGGGGCTCTCTGCTCAGCAGGGAGCCTGCTTCCCTTCCTCTCTCTCTGCCTGCATCTCTGTCTACTTGTAATCTCTGTCAAATAAATAAAATCTTTAAAATGAAAAGAAATATCTAATTTAGGGCTCAGCTGGTTAAGTGTCGTCCTTGAGCTCAGGTCATGTTCTCAGTGTCCTGGGATTGAGCATCATGTGGGACTCCCTGTGAGGGAGCCTGCTTCTCCCTCTCTTCCCTGCTCATGTCCTCTCTTTCTCTCTCTCTCTCAAATAAATAAATAAAATCTTTTAAATAAAATACCTGACTTAAAGTCTTTGTCTAGACAAAGTCTAGGCTGAGCTTAGTCCAATGTCTGGGCTTCCTCAAGGACAGTTTCCATTGATTGCTTTGTTTCTTTATATGGGTCATACTTGTTTATATACCTCGCTTTTTGTTGGAAATTGGACATTAAAATAATATAACATGGCAATTCTTGGAATCAGATTCTTTCCCCTCCCCATGGGTTTTTTGTTGTTGTTGTTCTTGCTGTTTTTTAGTGACTTTTTAAAAATAATTCTATAAAATCTGTATCGTCATGTGGAGCCACCAAAGTGTCTATTCAGTTAGTTTAGTGGTCAGCTAACGAGTGGACAGAGATTCTCTTAAACACTTGGAACCAGTAAGTCTCTCTGTCTTTGCTGAGGGTTTCTGTATATGTGTTGGGGTTCTCTTTCAGCACTTAGCCAGGCAACCAATCTTAGCCTTCAACCTGCTTGTATGACCTCAAGGTAAGAGATTGGGGCCTTTTCAGGTATTTTCTGAGCATGCATATAGTCCTGCATATGCATATGTTCTGGACTCCAAGAATGTATTGTTTTCAGAGTCCCCACCAACAATTCATTGCCCATCTCTTCCAGCTCTGCTTTCAGGTTAGCCTATTATTTGCCCCAATTGATATTCACATTCTCAAGCAGCCCAAACAAGTGCTTCTAATTGTTTACAACAAACACTCCTGGGGAAAAGGCTTTTCACAGGTGATGAACTCTAAGCTCCAAGTCCTGATGAGTTTGCGCTCCAGGTCGGATCAAATAAAGTCAGCCTTGCAAGTGGAGTCTTCCAGTTGCCACTGGACAGGTCAAATGATTATTTTCTGGGAATGAGGCTTTGAAAGAGTTCCAACCCCATTCCATCCCCACGAAGATGCCAGAATGTTGGTTTTCAAGGCTACCACGGAGCTGGAGGAGAAATGGGAATAGGGGAAGTTAAAATGCCACAAAGTTCATTGTTCTTAAACTCATTTGGCTATTATTGTGGAATAAATGTTACCCAGACTGCTTCAAGTGCTTTGTTAATTTACACAGTTCTGAGAAAGTTGATTCTGACAATTTTTGCCAGTTTTCTCATTCCTTTTATGGAGAGAACTTTGGAGGTCTTTATGCATTTTTTGCCATCACTCTTAACGAGTTTAATGACCCTTTGTCTTTAGCCATTCTTTCTGGTTAATTACCATCTTAGAGGGGAAACCTCTAAGCACAGATCTATTAGAGCACATCAAGGCAGTAATGAATCCTGGTCCACAGATTAATGAAAGAGATGTGGGGGGGGGCTGGGTGGTTCAGTCGGCTAAGCGTCTGCCTTCAGCTCAGACCCTCTGGGTCTGCTCCTCTCCCTGTTTGTGCTCTCTTAAAAAAAAAAAAAAAAATGTGTGTATATATATATATATATATATATATATATACACACACACACACACACACACACACACACACATAAAATCTTTTTTTAAAGAGAGAGAGGAAAGCACCTTTAGGAGACACTGCTAGGTGATTTGTGAGATTTTTGACTTAATATTAGTCCCTAAGCCTAACATAACTGAAAATCTTTGGTGTCCAGTTTCTTTGCCCTGGTCCCAAGCATACCTGAACGAATCTCTTCTCTAGTTCATGGGTTATCTCATAGCTTCATTTTTATGTTTTCCAGAAACCCCTTCACCAGCTTCTACTCACAGCTTTTCTTATAGGTAAGAGATTATGCTTCCTTTCACTGGGAATCTCTTCACACTGACATTCTGCCAGCAGTCCTGGGGTTACTTTTCTACTGGCTTATACCACTGAAGTTTAAAAATCTACCTTGTAAACAAGAGAGCATTTAATAGTACTGTGTCTTATATATGTCCAAATTACTTTCAGTCACAAGCAGGGTATTTATCTCCTGTCTTGTCTAAATATATAGGCTCTCCCTTTACATGTACTTTTCCCCTTTACCTTCCTTTTCTCTGCTGATGCTTCTTTTTCCCCTCCTTAGGCCTTCACCTGCTTCTTCGGGACAGGGGATTTTTTCTTTTAGACCATCACTAAATGGTGGGAATTCAGGCCACACAAGAGTCCTCACCCCCAACAATTCAGGTATGTTAAATAACATTCCCAAAGGAATGGAGCTAACCATTGACATATATACTAAATAAAGATTTTCAAGGTGAAAAGAAGTTAAGAAGAGAATGGACTTAATAACCTACTTAAACTGCTTAGCTAAGTGTTTTTCTGACTAGTGTTCTACAGATTAAGACCTACCTATTTACCCTGACCCATAAGTAAAACTGCCAAAGAACTGCCCAAGGGAGTTACCTTTCACCATTCCAATTCTATCCTTCAGGTCAGAGGGAAAGCAGAACTCCACTAGAGTGTCTTCCTGGTTTCCAGCTACCAGTTCAGCAGGTGAGCCCAGGCTAATCTAACTTGCCTGCATATGAAAAACACATGGTTAGGCCTACACATGAAATGCCTTTTTGGTCTCCTGTTAAGGTGGTAGAATATAACCGGTGGAGAATGACACGGGTTTCAAATGTAGTAATCATATGTTCACAATCTATCAGGATGGTCTCAATTTCAAAAATTCTATCCTATTACAAGATTAGCTTCCTAGTTTGGGGTTTAAAAATTAGGTCACATGGTAGTGAATGGCTTTAAACTGAAAGGTCTCAGCCAGTGTGAACTAAGTGTGTAGACACAACTAACATTCCCAAAATTTCCACAAAAAAAATATTTCAATGGAATAGATCTTTTGGGTAGAGGTACTGCTTGAACAAGGAAAAGCTATGTGCACTTCTCTAGACATGGTTAGAGTAATGCTTTATAAATTTACGGGACTCTGATACAATATAGGCAATAAGAGAAAAAGGGTAGGGAACAAGAAGAGATGTTTGTAAGGAGCTCTACATGAAAAGTCTAGTCTTGCCTTTTAAGTTGTCTTTTATGGCCCAGGTTTTGAGGATATTTAGGCCCTTTTTCAATGCCAAGCTCCTGGTGATCCCAAGAACATCCTAAGATAGGTAGTATTTTGCTCTTGTATTCCAAATGCCCTTTATTTTCATTGGCAAAAAATTAGGATCTAAGCCCTAAGAGGCAACACTGGGGAAATAACATCCCTGAGATCCTCACAAATGGAGAGGTTAACCTACAGATGCAAAAAGAATCTACAAATATATGGCCCCTAATTGGATCCTGATTGAAACAAACTGTAAAAAAAACCAAAAACATTTATGAGAAAGTTGAAAACTGAACACCTCTTGGATATTTGATATTAAGGAATTGTTAATAGTTTTCTTTTGTAGGCATAATGGCTATTATAATTATATTTTTAAAAATAGTCTACCTTTTGGAGATAACATACTAAAATATTTAAGGACAGGAAGTTAAATGATTCTCTGGGGTTTGCTTTAATATAATCTAGTGGACATAGGAGAGAGAGAGAGGAGAAATGAAAGAAAAACTGGCTATGAGTTATTTGTTGAAGTTGGGTGATGGGTACTTATCAGCTCATTATACTACTTTACTTTTGTATTTTTTGAAAACTTCAATAATAAAGTTTTTTTTTAAAAGTTATTAAAGGAAGTGTCACCTCCCCAGAGGCATAAGAATCCTGCCTCACTGCTAATCCTCTCTTGGCATAGTCTCCAGTTTCCTCTCCATATCTTCCAAGATAGTTTTTTTTTTTTAATATTCTGCCTTATTACCATAAGACAATAAATGTTGTAAGATTTTCATAATTAGCAACAAAGCCTTTGTCACACTAGGTGTATCAAATCTTAGTTTGGAAAAGTTAGTTCATCACACAATGGAGAAAATATGGGGCAGTAGCAGTGGTGACCTGCTGTCTTGATAAACTTCATATAATGGTTTGAGAGGGCCTTAATTACCCTTTTTGTTATAAATGCCCATATCTGCCTTCCTTCCCTCTGCTGCAGACTCTCTACGAACAGAGACAGATGGGATTAGCCAGGTCAAGAGAAGCATGGACTACTTCCAGATAGATCGTCTTCAAGGTCTGATCTAAACATGTTGCTTAAAGAAGGCCTATAGCATCCAATACCCATTAAGTGCCTTGGAAAATGTCTCCCTGCCTTGTTTCCTGGTTTCACTCTCTTGACTTTTATGATATACATCCTCTATTACCTTCTAGGAAAATAAGCATTATATAAGGCTAGTACTACAGGAAGATGTTTAGATCTCTCCCACACTCAAATAGCTCTCTCATTTCCTACAACTTAAAGGTTGTAAAAACAATTCTTGGCATCATTGGGGGTGAGAGGTAATATACTCATTAAGTATGGTTTATTTCTATATTTCATTCTTTCAGCTTTGGATATATTCTTCCATTGCCAATGTTAATAAGCAACAACTCTGTTCCTAATTTATTATACTTATGTTGCCTATTGTTTCTTCTATGCCTAGTTAACTATGTTGATTTTCCTTTGAGACCCAGACTTTCAGCTTACTAAAGTACATAGATAATATAAAGGTGTCCTTTTATTGTTATTGCAACTCTATTGGTTTTATATTACAAGCTGTGAATGGTGGAATGGGCAAAGACCACCACAACTTAGATGAAACCTGTATTCTTCCTTGGGTACTAAATAGAAATGAGGAATTAAATGAGTCAGCCACTGGCAGGGAGACCATAAGCAAAAATATTGAAAAAGTGTAAAGATAGCAGACATCTGACAGAAATAAATTAGGTCCTGGAAATGACTCTGAAGCTGAACTAGGATTCCCTACTCTTTCTGGAACTCTGAATTTATTTATTTATTTATTTATTTTAAAGATTTTATTTATTTGACAGACAGAGACCATAAGTAGGCAGAGAAGCAGGCAGAGCGAGAGAGGAAACAGGTTCCCTGCCGAGCAGAGAGCCCGTTGTGGGGCTCGATCCCAGGACCCCGAGATCATGACCTGAGCTGAAGGCAGAGGCTTTAACTCACTGAGCCACCCAGGCGCCCTCTGAATTTATTTTTAAAGGCATTTCTAGACACCTCTTCTGGGCAAGAGCCTGTGCTGTAGCAGGTACAGGAAACAAATCTGCCCAGTGATAGATGCTAATACACTGCCTTTCAAAGTTCTTGTTTAATTTTTTTTTAAAGATGTATTTATTTATTTTATGGAGTGCATGTGCGCATGCAAATGGGAGAAGAGACGGAGAGAATCCTCACGCAGACACCCCACTTAGCACAGAGGCCCCACTGAGCGCGGAGCCTGATCTCATGACCTGTGAGATGATAACCTAAGCCAAAACCATGAGTAGGTGCTTAACTGACTGAGCCACCCAGGTGCCCCAAGTTTTGTTTTCTTAATCTACCTCAATATATCCTGCTGTTAAAAAAAAAAAAAAAAGTATACTAAATCAGAATGTTAATGGATTTGGCTCCATTAATCTCTAAACCATAGAAGTGGCAAAGTGGAGGAGAGAGAAACAATTTTATTTGTGGCCTTTTATTATTATTCTAGCAATTTGGGGCTTCCACTCTTATTTCTAGATGGTTAACCCATTGAAATCTTTATATCTGACTCCATCTGATGGAAACCATTCTAAAGCATCAATAATCAATTCAGTTAAAGACCTGGGTCCCTCTGTCCCCAAGACAGATCCTATAAAGAGAGGAAAGTCTCAATTACAGATATAAATTGAACCAACACCAAAAAAGATGAAATATTAGTCTCTGTCAAGTTAGGCAGGAGGGAGTTTCAGGTTTGTAAAACCAAACCTGGAACCTACCGCACCCACCTTCTGAACAGTAGAAACCATCCCTCTCCTCTATTCCTCTGTAACCTAATTCTACTTTTTAAAAGGACATTTCCCCTAATTCCCACATCCAATAAATATCCCGTCTAAATTATTCTCCACCCAATTATTAAACTTTTCACAAGCTCCATGGGGAAGATTTACCCTGAGACAAATAGTGAACAGAATGGGGACTTGGAAAAAGATTAAAAAAAAAAAAAAAAGTACAAGGCAAAAGTGGTCCCAGTATCAGAAATGAAAACATTCTGCTACCTGTGCAACTCCGTAACAAGGAAGGTAAACCATACAGTCACGTTGGTGTGCATTAAGGAAAGACTAGTGATGAGACTGGGACATACTAAGACTCTTAGCTGTATTATACATGGACTTGTGCTCAGAAAAGAAAAGGGGTGTGAGGCAGCCTTACATTCCAGGGAAAATGGTGGGACTGGGGTCTGCACTGGAATCATCAATTGAATCAAAATTCTTTACTCTTCTTTTCCAGTCCTCCTATAGATGTATGGCCAAGGTCTGGGCTTTCCATAGCACACTAAGGGAAAAGAACAGCAGACATGAAGAGAGCAAAAAAGCCTTTTCCCAGCCCATGGTTTGGACCAGATCCTTAGCGTACTCTTCACTGAGACGAGAGGACTGATTTCTGCTCATCCAATCCCCACCTCTCTTTAGATCCTATGGTCATCCTCCCTGGTCCACCCTCACTACATCCCCAATCCCCCAACCTCAAGAACACAAAGCTTTTCAGTTCTTTGCCACAAAGTAATTTAAAAAAATGTGGTTTCTTTGTTTAAACAGTTACTAAGTTGGTTCATCTTTTAGTAACAGACCTTCCCTCCCCTAGTCCCCCCGACTCAGTCCTGTATGATCACATCGTCATCATCATCATCCTCTTCCTCCTCCTCCTCCTCCTCCTCTTCATCCTCATCATCTTCTGGCAGTTCTTCCTCCTCCTCTTCCTCCTCTTCATCTAGACAAACCACCACCTCAGCTGGCTCAGGTAATCGAGAGTCAAACCAATCCAGTACCTGCTGGGTGCTAAGCCTTGATGCCTGACTCAGTTGAGGGATATCACTTTCCCGTAGCTGTTGATGGGCTGCCCAGTACCTCTCCAAGGGTCGTATATCCGGTGGGGGTGGGGGGTTCGGCAGAGGTGGTGTCTCAGCCCATTCATTCAAGGAGCGGGTTGAAGGTGGGGGTGTGGGAATTGCTGGGTCCTGGAAACTAGAGGCACCAGGTACCGCATTGTCCCGAAACCATTTTAGTTGCCCATGCTTCAAGGCATAGCGTGTGTCACCAAACCACTGAATGATCTCAGGTCGAGGTAAACCAGTGATCTGTTCTAATTTATGGTAATCCTCACGCCGTGCCCATTGGCACTGTAAAAAAAAAGATTTGAGGATAGCCAGCTGCTCTTTGGTTTTGCGCTTGGTCTTTCGCTGGCGTTGCATATCTGGGGAAAGGTACTCTGCAGGGCCAACCCTACCTGGTACTGAGTTATGTCTTAGCCCCTGGGGCCAAGCTGGCTCCAGATGTGGGGGCAGTGCCTGTTCACTGGGTGACAGTGGCTGTGAGATACAGCCTAGTGACTGGAGGGGTTTAGAGGTGGCAGTAGCTCCATTAGCCAGTACCGGGAAAGTGGAAGAAGAGGTAGAGGGAGAAGGAGTCATATTAGATGTTGACTCCTGCTTACAACTACTAGCAAGTAGTGAGATTGGTGGGGGCTTATCCCGAGCATGTGGCTGGTGGACAGCTGTGGAGTGGTTCCAGGAAGCAGAACCTAGGCCATGTGACTGGTGGGGACCCCTGCCTGCCTGCTCCTTAGAGAAGCCACTGCTTTGAAGATCCTGCCAAAAATCTGATTGGTGGGGGAATGCCCCACTGCCAGGTGCCATCAGGGGTTCCTTTGCTTTCTGGTGACTCAGCAGCTCTGAGGACTCCTCAGGTTCTACCTTCAATCCTTTCATTTGGGTGGGCTCACTAAGAGTCAGGGGTACTATTCCAAGACCCACTTGTTCTGGAGGTGGCAATGGAGGAGGCACCTCCTCTGGAGGCCGCCCTGCATGATGAGTAAAAGAGAGAAGGGATTTGAAATGGAGCTGGTCCCGATGGTAGACCACTCGGGCTCGAGTCTCTTCTATTTCTTCAGATGACCAGCTAATGCCACAGCGGAGGCGCTGGGCCATGAACCAAGTCTTGACTTTCTCCATCTGCAGCCCATAGCGTAAGCAGAGAAGGGCAATGTCTGCTAGACTGGGATAGGGAAAGTAGCTGAAGGTTTGTAGCAAGTGTTCATTGCCATCCAGCTCACTGGTCTGGGCTGCTTGGGTCCACACAAGCTGTAGCTCCTCGGAGATTGGAGGCAGGCAGATGAGCCCCGCTGGGGAGCTATTAAGACTGCTGGCCTCTTTATTAGGAGGCATGGTGCTTTCTGATTTGTGCCCTTCAGAGATAGCTGTAATAAGAAGAGAAACAGCTCAATCACTGGGGCTCCTCTTTCAGCCTATTGCTCAATTTCTGCCAAACAAAATGCTGGACTCCAATACAATCAACTATCTATGTGTACCATGTTGGATTGCTTTTAAAGTGCTTTAGTAATTTCTCATTTAATTTTCCTAACTTTATGAGCCTGTTAAAATTCCTGTTGTATGTATGGAAAAACCAAAGTCCATAGAAGTTAAATTACCCCAAGTCACATGACTAGTGAATACTATCACCAGGACAAAAATCTGTCTTTAGAGATTAAGGAGGAAAACTCATCCTTATGTTGCCTTAATTTTTCTAATTCAAACTCACTTCATCCTCTAAGTCCATGGAACAGGAGTCACAAAATGAAATCTCAACCACAAAAACATGAAGTGCAGTAATCTCAAAACTGATGCAAATTGCTTTAACTCCTGGCAATTTACGATTACCTCTAGAATGTCGAGACAGGTGGGAAATACAAGAGAGGAGTATCTAGAAGGCAGGACAGCACTGTTCCACTGCCCAGCCCCCAGCCCCCTTTCCTCTTCCCTTCTTGGTGGTGGAGTCCTTCAGGGAGGGGAATGATAGTGCCTTTAAGCCCTAAAACCAAACCCGCTTTATTTTCTCTCTGTAGGATAAGGAACAGGTCAGGTATCTGGGATAAATGGGGCTTACTCCTCCTGGGTTTTGGGGTCCTGTGGGGGTAGAGAGAGGGAATTGTTTCCACCAAGTCATCCTCAGAACAAAGGTTAGCCCCTCCCCCCAGCCTTTGTCTCTTCCTACAGCTCAGTCTCTCTCTGGGGAGCCTGGAGAGCTCCCTCAGACTGTAACAGCCCCTCCACACAGGGCCAAAGGCCTGCCAGTCTTATCTCTGCAGCCCAGCTTTCTTCTCAGGGCCAGGTGGGCAGATGCACTGTGAATCGAAGCCAGGTCCTGCAGGCTCCCCAGCAGCACCACTGCTCCCAGGGCTGTGGGTGTGGGGGCTGCAGGGAGAGCCCCTGATCCTGCATCATGCCTGAAATACCTGCTCAGGTTATTTCCCAGAAAAGTTCTGCTGACCAGGTTTTAACTCAGCTCTCTGGATGGGTATTAGAAACTCTTTAACACATCTGTCACCCTTTACTGTTAGAGGAATCCCATCTGAGTTTATAAATATTTACCTCTGATATGTTAAGGATGGGACAGGATTCCTAGGTAAACACTACATGATGAACCGAGAAGAATCTCAAGTCCAGGACGTTATAGTACATAGTGGTATCAAGGGATTTTATATGATGATTAGAAAAATTTGGAAGCATTTTAATGAGTCTCCATTTCCTTTTAACAATCTGATCTATTGAACTGAAGGCCATGCAGATCCTAAAGGCTATACAGCTTGAAGAGAACCTGAAGAGGGTAAATGGAGGCAGCATGGCACAGTGGGTAGAAATGTGATCCCTGACTAAGGCCAACCTGCAGTCTGAATCCCAGTTCTGCCACTTACCACCTATATGATCTTGGGCAAGCTACTGAACTTAAAGGAGCTTTAGTTTCTTCATGTGTAAAAAATGCACAGTGCTGCATGTCTATAAAGCTATATATTTTTACCAGGAACCTACTATGTGCTAGGCAAGACCTAACACAGCTCTTGGGGTGGGGGTTTGGGGTGAGGCAGATTTGAAATTAACTGCAGCTCCACTCCTTCCTAGCGTGTTGCCTGTCCTTGGGCAATTTATTTAATCTCACAAAGCCTTAGTTTCCCCTCAGAAAGAAAGGCGGTCGTAACAGCACCTTCCTCCAAGTTTATGGCTAAATGAAAAAAATGCAGTTAACGTGATGCCTAGAACAAAGTAAAGGCTCAATAAATGGCAGCTTTTCTCATTACTTCAGCCTCACAGGGCGATTCTGATATAAGGGAATGCCATTCTCTTCCTAGACACGGAGAAAAGTGAAGCAGACTGCATTCTTTAAAATCATTGTTTTCCATCTCTTTTTTCAGGGTCCTAATTCTAATGAGCAGTGGAGAAAACCAGGATATCCATGATTTTATGCTCTTTACATTTTGGGAGTTGGATATCATTCCAGAATGGATTATGCTGCTTTAAAAAAAAAAAAAAAAAAGTATGAAAATCACAGCTTTAGGAGAATTGAATCTGTATCTTGGGTATAAATCCTTTTTGATTGCCAGATGAATTGCCAATGCAGTACTAGCTCTACCTTTACCCTCCAGGTTCATCCCAGACACACCTGAGTGGCCTGTGAGCAACTGCTTGCACAGATGGGTGCTAAACCACCATTCAGACATTGTGGCCCACCAGGAATACCACCAACCTAAGCTGCAGAACACTTTATGATTGCAGCACTTGACATTTACTTAACCTTATTTGTATCTGTTTTTTAAGGACACAATTATACTTTAGATAAGAGAAAACTGTGGCCTAAGGAATAAAGCAGTCCAGCTAAGGATGAAGACTGCCAGACAGGAAATAAGGCAGGCACAGCTATAAGCCTTACAAGGAAGCATTTTGTTTTCATTCATGTGGTTTGCTATCCTCCAGATTCTCATGGTATCAGTTTGATGTTTCAGTATAACATATAGTAATGCAAATACCGTATTTGGGGTACTGCATACATCCAGTTTTCCAATTACACAAAACAAACTGTGGAAGATTTCCTGATGTAGAGTGGTGGCTTAAATCAAGGCACAGCTAGCTGTACAGCTAGCTACCTGGTATCTCCCTGGAAGAATTAGACACAGGAAGAAACTACAACCGGAGAGTGGCTCATGAGAACTGTAACAAGGAGAACAGACCCCACATTAATCAAAACCACAATGAAGACACTACAGTGTCTTGTGTTCTTATACCTCCATTTGGAAAGGGTAGAAAAAGAAGGGAATCAAAACTGGAGAAATAAAGACTCCTATGGGCAGAGATGGTAGTGATGATGGGATTACCAATTCTGAATAATTACTAAATTTGTATCCTTATTAAATATATATGCCCTACCACTCCTTCAAATAGCTAGTAAAAAATATAATTATATATATATATTCATATATATATATATATTATATATCTATATATCTATCTCATATATAGAGGATAACACCCTTCGTTCCCTTTGGGCTTTCCATACCTGTGGACAGATGGCAGAAAAGAATGGACTAACTTAAAACTTCCAGTTTGGATGTATATACAATCCTAGGAAAAAGAGGTGTTCACAACTTTAGGGTTGATTCTAGACTTATGGATAAAGCAGGAGACAGTTCAAATGAGAAACTAATGATCCTGCAAAATTACCCTGTATCTTTATTCAGAGAAGAATTGGAGTACTGCCTAAAATGTGTTTTGGTGATACAGTTTTAAGGGCCTTAAAAGAATTTTCAGTGGTATTCAACTTACGTGCTTCTCAACTTTTTTGGGTCATGAACTTCTTTGAGAATCAGATAAAGGTATGGACCACTCAGGAAGTTATGACTACCCCCACCATAAACATCTAAACTTACACATTATATATATAATCTCAAAGGATTCACTGGCTGCCCAGAAGCTCAATTTAAGAACCTCTGCCTTATGTCCTTCCAACTCAGTAAAAAAAAAAAAAAAAAAAAAAAAAAAGGAGTGATGGTAATTGCTTAAAGAGGAACATAATGCTTGATGTGAATGAATGGAAAGAGTGGATGGAATACTCAAGAGAATTTAAGTCTAGAAGGGACTGGATACTGGTGATATTAATTGGAGAGAGTGGAAGGGGGAGAGGTGTTCAACTGGGCCAGGAGCGTGACTTAACTGATCCACTGGGTTTTATGACCAACACCCACAGTGTGCTATGTACTAGAGGATGGTAGGCTACTCTCTAGTGTGCCAAAATCATCTGTTTCCTTCAGCTGCCCTATGAGCCTGGACCAGTTGCGGGTGATTCCCAACCTGTTTATGCCTGTTTTTTCTTTATTTATATAATAATGTAATTAAATATCACATAAACCTATGAAAAATTAGTGAGCTAAAAATTGTTTCTATGAAAACAAAGTCAAATGTTAAGGTGTTGTACAGTTGTTGAATTGGGAGTAGCAGGGAACTGTAAAAGATTAGAGGGGCAGGGTACTTAAAAATCTCAAACGTATTCTGCATTCAGATTGCTCCAAAAGTGTGTAAATTCTCACTGCATTAAAACAAAACAAAACAGGGGCGCCTGGGTGGCTCAGTGCATTAAAGCCTTTGCCTTCAGCTCAGGTCATGATCCCAGGATCGAGCTGCGCATCAGGCTCTCTGCTCAACAGGAAGCCTGCTTCCCCCTCTCTCTCTGCCTGCCTCTCTGCCTACTTGTGATCTCTGGCAAATAAATAAAATCTTTTAAAAAATAAATAAATAAAACAAAAAACCCCTTGAAATCATACATTAGAGGCAGTGGCACATTAGAATTACCTGGGAAATTTAAACCAGGGAATCCTCCTTCGTATTTTGACTTAAATTAGTCTGGACTGGGGCCCAGGCATCAGTGCTTTTAAAAGTTCTCAGGGTGCAGCCAGATTAGAAATTCGCTTGTGTAGTTTATATGGAAAGACAACTGGGAACTCCGATCAGCAGACTTACACAAAGAAAACGCCTGGACACTACCCCAAAAGATTGGTGCAATGAACATGCTTTTAATGACAATGCTTAAGAGATGTATGCATCATTTAAAAAATTCCCAAGTTTAACTGGCTTGTTTTTTTCAATCATTGCCATTTACCTGTCCTACTCATATAATATAAAAGGGCTTCAAATGTATGGTGAGAAGGAGGTTCATATGATAAAAGATCTCCTGATCTGGGCCCACGTTACCAAACAGGTCTCAGCTTGAGTCTTTCAGTTTAGAAGTCTCAGATTAGGACACAAAACCAGGAACCTCTGAGAACTCGGGTTCTCACTTTTTTGGTTTGTTTTCTGAGTATGGTTGGGTAGGGGGTCAGAAGGCGCAGTTTCTCCCAAACCTCTCATTCCCAAATACCACCGCTTCCCAGAAGTAAGACCAGGTTTCTGTACGTGTGTTGAGGTCGCCAGGAGGTAGTCGTGGGGGGAGGAGGAGAGGCCTGGGAAGGAAGCGTTTCTCCTATCCTCCATTTCGCAGGCAGTCTATAAGGCTCCAAACTGGGTCAGAGAACAAAAAGTTGCTGCACTTGGGGCGATGAGCCCCAGGGAGCAGCCGAATCTCAATCCTCCCCTCGCGGGGGGGCGTCCCAACCCAGCCTTCCCCTCCTCCCTACACACCCACTCACCCTCCCCCAGTTACAACAGGGAACCGAAAAGTCCAGAGGAGAAAGGAGAGAGAACGGGGAGACTTCGAGCCTAGAATTCTCCAACCCCCCCCAGCGCGGGGATGGGGCTCCGGAGGTCGGAGATCTTACAGGGGCTGGGAGGGGAAGTCGAAGGGGCTGGGGATCACTCACCGCGGTCCGGCCCGGGCGGCGGCTCCCAGCCTCGCACCATGGGCCGGGGGGAAAGGGGGAGAAAGGGCAGGGGGCCTCCGCGGTGGGAGTGGGGTTCCCGCCCGGTGCGGCCTGCTCCAAGCCCACCCGCGCGGAGGGCCGGGACCGGGACTGCCCCCCCTGTCCCCGAGAGCGCGCCCGTATAGCCCAACCCTGCTCGAACGAGTTGGAGGCGGGGCGGATGGGTGGGGTGGGCTCCAGGGGCGGTGCCAAGGTGGCCCGTGTCCCGATTGGTGGAAGTAGGCAGGCGGGCACCCGCGGAACGCACTGGGCCGGCCATTGGCTGCGTGAGTCTCGGCTGAAGTCGGTTATTGGCTGGGTGGGCCTCAGCCGGGGTGGCTATTGGCTGCTTGGGGCAGGGAAGATGTCCCCCAGGGCCAGGGTGCTGTGAATGGTACCTCCTCCCACCCCTACCGCCCCCCACCCCCCGCTTTCGACCTTTCCGCGCCGGACCTTCGGAGTATGCTGAGGCTTGGTCCTCCCGGAATTGCCCCAAGGAATTCACAGGAGTTTGTTCAGTTGTCCAAGACCAACTTGCAACTACTCCCCATTTGTTCCTCCTGAAGGAAGACTTTTTTCAGCATCCCCTTGTCAGCCTTACACGCGAGTAGAGCCAGAGCGGAGCCGCGCCTGCCCAGCCGAGGGCCGTCAGCAGCGTCACTGTAAACGAAGCGCCCAGAGCAACCGGGAACTTGTTCTCCAGATGGATCAAATGTCTTGCAGCCTGAAAGACGAGGATCCCAGCAGCCCGGCCCCTTCAGAACACTGCACAGGTGTTCCCACGGACTAAGTGCCGTAAGCGGGCACCTGTTTGGGACCCCCCCCCCCCAGACAATCCGACCCCAGGCCCACCTCTCTGTCCCAGTGAGGAGGACCTGCCTCATACATTTGAGGACCTTGATTTTCGCTGTCAAGAAAAAGATGGCGGGGCGCCTTGGTGGCTCAGTAGGTTAAGCCTCTGCCTTCGGTTCAGGCCATGATCCCAGTATCCTGGGATTGAGGCCCACATCGGGCTCTCTGCTCAGCAGGGAGCCTGCTTTCCCTCCTCTCTCTGCCTGCCTGTCTGCCTGCTTGTGATCGCTGTCTGTCGAATAAATAAATAAAATCTTAAAAAAAAAAGATGGCAACAAAATGGGACTTTTCACCAGAGTAGTCACAAAAGTTGTGGGACAAAAGTTAATATATTTGGAATTTGGGCCAAAGCTTGTATATATATTTAGGATTCTCGGTCTTTAGACAAAAACTTGGAAACAGTACTTTCTGAAGTGATTCTTTTGTTCTCATATGCTGATCTTTGAAAAAGTCTCTTTTTGCCTTTAGGTCACTTAATATTTTACACAACTAAAATAATTTATGAAACAATTTCATACTTTGCTCTGTATCCCACAGACATCACTCCCCCCCGCCCCAAACCAATGCCCGCTATGGATTCTTTATTGCTCCAATTTAAGGTCTAGAGCACTTTCATGGTTGTCAGACATCAGAAATGGTTTTCAACTTCAGCATTGAGCCTCATGTTAATTATGCCTATATTTGTACCTGCCCACCTCCCAGCCCCATTACATTCAGTAAAAATTTCAACCTCCTAAGAGCCAGCCCTACAATCTTCACATCAGCAAAACATAGGCGTAAACAAAGGAAAGATAAATATACTCAGCTTTAGAGTTGGAAACTTCTGATCCCTCAGGGTTTAAGCTAGGGCTCGTAGTACATAACAGACTTTGTCTTAAATCATGACTATTACCATGCCCCAATAGTTTGTATACAATAAAAGAAAAAGTGAAATATTTTAGGCAGCAGCAGCCCTCAGTTTTCAGTGAAGTTGTTCTCCCATAATCCAAACAAATAACAAGACTGGGTTGATTGGAAAGAACTCATGATTAATCTGGCTGGAAAGCCAGTCAATGTCTGCGAGAACCTAGTGCCTGCCCCTCTATAGGGGAATCAGTTAGGCACCCTGGGCAACACTGATCGCCGCCTTTTGGAAATAAGAAAGGTGGACCTTTTCTGCCACCTTTCTTGTCTCATTAAGACACTCACTCCTGAGACTTGGGAGTAGGGAGCAGAATTAAAGACAGGTTTAGGAGAGGGGAAATTAAAGGAAAGAAGAAACTCATCTACCCCTTTTATAGAGTGCGTGCTAAGCTTCCCTCTTTTTCTTTTTTTTTTAAGATTTTATTTATTTGAGAGAGAGAGAGTGCATGTGCAAGCAAGGGGAGGGATAGAGGGAGAGGGAGAAGCAGGCTCCCTACTCAGCAGGGAGCCTGTTGTGGGGCTCCATCCCAGGGTCCTGGGATCATGACCTGAGCCCAAGGCAGACCCTTAACTGACTGAGCCACCCAGGTGCCCCGTGAAGCCTCCCTCTTATGTGGGTTTCACCCTAAAGCTTTAGAAGATGGAGTGGACTAGGATGTGGATTGGAAGAGAGGAATAGATGCAGGCTGACAATATCAGAGAAGGGAGGGCCCCTACCTCTAGCAAGACAACAAAACTTCTCAGCTTTTCCAGGGACTAGTGCTGAAAGAATGAGGACTTGTCATCCTCAATGTAGAGATGTTAATTCCCCATCTTTGGTGAAAATTCTCTCTTCCTTTACATGGCTTAGATATAAGTAGGATTAACCAGAGGCACATTTACCATATACCTAAGGAAACTAAGTTTCAAGGTCACTTCTTGCACAGACCTTCCAAAGCACTGGAGAAGCTCCAGGGTGTGTTAATGTGGTCGTGGCTTTTTGTAAAATTTGAAAAAAAATATTTAACCTGAAACGCTAAGATTGATGTCTATTTCCTTTCTGATTTCCCCTCCATTATATTTCTCCTTCTGTCAGGTGGCAGTGGAAAGGCCATGAGTATTTTGAGATTGGCTAGAGAAATGGAGTTGGGGATACATTTAGTTTGGGTTGAATAGGTATATGACCGTGGTTTGCTGTAATTTCTGTAAATACTTTAATAGCCAGTATGGCGTTAGGGGCTGAACTATGTCATCCATTCCCCCCACCCCACATTCATATGATAAAGTCGTAACTCCAGATACCTTAGAATATAACTGTATTTGGAAATAAGTTCTATAAAGAAGTGATGACATTAAAATGACGTCTTCAGGGATGCCTGGGTGGCTCAGTCTGTTAAGTGGCTGCCTTCAGCTCAGGTCATAATCCCAGGGTCCTGGGATGGAGTCCCAGATCAGGCTCCTTGCTTGGCAGGGAGCCTGCTTCTCTCTCTGCCTCTGCTTGCCACTCTGCCTGCCTTTGCTCTCTCTTTCTCTGACAAATAAATAAATAAAATCTTTTAAAAAAATGAGGTCTTCAGGGTGAGTCCTAATCCAATATGATTGGTATCTTTATAGTAGGAAATTTGGACACAGACATAGAAAAGACCATGGGAAGACATAGGGAGAAGATGACTCTAAGGAAAGGAACCTCAGAATTAAGTAAACCCTGTGGATATGTTGATCTCAGACTTCTACCCTCCACAACTGAGAGAGAATTTCATTTTAAGCCACCCAGTGGGTTGTATTTTTTATGGCAGCTCTAGCAGACTAATACAGATAGATTAATCCTAATGTCAACAATCCAGAGTATATTAGTCATTCCAAATTTGTAATGCTCTGAAGTTTTACACATGTATCAAAGAGATTTGATAGTTTTTTTTTCAAGTTTGACAAAAATCTAAAAAATCATGTAACATTATCACTTATAAAGTGTGAAGGTGAAATTTTTCTAAATCACTAAGATTTTTTTTAAAAAGCAATCATGTAGGGGCACCTGGGTGGCTCAGTGGGTTAAGGCTTCTGCCTTCGACTCGGGTCATGATCCCAGGGTCCTGCGATCGAGCCCCACATCGGGCTCTCTGCTCAGCAGGGAGCCTGCTTCCTTGTCTCTTGTCTCTCTCTGCCTGCCTCTCTGCCTACTTGTGATCTCTGTGTCTGTCAAATAAATAAATAAAATCTTAAAAAAAAAAAAAGCAATCATGTAGAAAACTGAATTACTTTTCTGTACTTCTTATAGAAAACATTATAATAATCAATATGAAAAATCTATCAAGGAGCATGCACCCAAAAACAAAATTGTAAAAAAAAAAAAATGCTAGTCAAGTAGGTAATTTCTAAAATTTGTTATTTTTCTTGATTTTTATTTTATTTTGGTTTTTTTTAGATTTTTTTTTTTTTTTTAACAGGCATAGATCACAAGTAGGCAGAGAGGCAGGCAGAGAGAGAAGGAGGGGGAAGAAGGCTCCCTGCTAAGCAGAGAGCCCGATGCGGGCTCAATCCCAGGACTCTGGGATCATGACCTGAGACGAAGGCAGAGGCTTTAACCCACTGAGCCACCCAGGGGCCCTTGATTTTTTTTTATATTGTGGTGTCAGCTCCTTAAAAATTTTAATTTAGGGAGTGCCTGGGTGGCTCAGTGGGTTAAAGCCTCTGCCTTCGGCTCAGGTCATGATCCCAGGGTCCTGGGATCGAGCCCCACATCGGGCTCTCTGCTCAGCGGGGAGCCTGCTTCCTCCTCTCTCTCTGCCTGTCTCTCTGCCTACTTGTGATCTCTATCTGTCAAATAAATAAATAAAATCTTTAAAAAAATAAAAAAAATTTTTAATTTATCTTTTTCATTCTAAAGTTTTCACTTTAGTGCCTAATGTATTTATTTTTCTTTTAAAAGGCTCCAAAAGTTGTATTTCAGGCACTCCAAAACTTGGATCTACCTGGGACAAGCCAAATGGATATGGTGAGTTTCTGCCTCACTTAGGAGAACCATGCCTCATCATTCTATGCCCTGTCTCCTAAGAAATAAAAAAGCTGAGGGCTGACCAATCAGAACTGCAACTATTGAAGATTTGGGATAGCAAAAGCTGCAGTGGAGTTTGTGGAAGAAGGATTTCAGACAGACCTAGCACTAAACTAAGGTACGAGAGGCCTGGAAAGGCATTTTGGCCACAGAGGGACCTTAGGCAGTAAGCCACGGAGAAGAACCCTGGGAAGCCCTGCTTACCTCTCTTTGGGTGTCTGCTCCTCATGCTGACTCTACCCTTCAACATATCTAGCTTCATAACGTAGGTGTAGGTGCTCTGCCATGACATCACAACTTAGGCCATTATGATGTAATGAGGAGGCATCTGATTATTCTCAGGCTAGACTTCACTATTAGAAACACTGTCTGAGGGGCACCTGGGTGGCTCAGTGGGTTAAGCCTCTGCCTTCAGCTCAAGTCATGGTCTCAGGGTCCTGGGATCGAGCCCGGCATTGGGCTCTCTGCTCAGCAGGGAGCCTGCTTCCCTTCCTCTCTCTCTCTCTCTCTCTCTCTCTCTCTCTCTCTCTCTCGCCTGCCTCTCTGCCTACTTGTGATCTCTGTCAAATAAGTGAAATCTTTAAAAAAAAATAAAAAGAAACATCTGATTATTTTGTGGGTAACTGGATTCTCTCATTGTTCAGGTGATGTGGGAGTCAATATTATGTTAGAACTTGATCTTTTTCGAGGATGTCTCACTTAAATACCTGTTGCTCCATTCTGGATTAGACAGAGGTCTTTGCTTTTCCTCGTCATATTTCCTATGCTTTGCCCTTTCCTTCAGAGCTTACGGAGCAGGATGTAACTTAGATGGCCCCCTTAAGGAAGAAGAGCCCCCGCCCCCAACCTGAGGGGAAATTTGGCACTTTTACCCAAGCTGTACCCTTTAACTGCACCAGGAACTGGTGCTGGGTGCCAGGGCCCTAAAGCTGGGTCCTGATAACTTTCCTACCACTACCCAATATAGTGGTGGGATTCTATTGCGGTGTCTTATACCAGGGCTGCCCAACTCCTCCATATCTTTTGCCCACCCAACTTTTACAGAGCAATAGGATACCAGCAGACAGATTTTTAAGAAATGAGATGACCAAGATACCAGGGGGTGGGAGAGAGGAATCTCATTTCTGGGTCTCTTGCCACCCTCTACCCCAAACAAACAATACTTCTCAGTATTTTATGATATACTTTCATGTTTCGACTTTATTTCAAGTATGAGGTCTTTTATCCAGAAGGGAGGGCAGTTGCATGAGGAAGCTGAAGTGAGGCACAATACTCGTGGGTTTGGGACCCAGTGAACAGGGCTGCACTGTGAAGAGGGTGAGGACACTCTGAGAGGGCCTGATGAGAACAGTGGTTTGGGGAGATCCACATAGCAAGCTTTCAATTCCTCTCCAGGTTAGCTAGTCAATGGGTGGATTATTCAGTCTTTTTAGTAACTTCACTGTTCCTTAGCAATATCACCCGGAGAAGTGCCCAAGGTGGGAAAACAGAGAAAACTACAAGTGCCTTTTGTTTCTTTTTATGCCTGGATAGGGAAGGGAATGGAAACTAGCAGCAGAAAATGAAACATTTGTAATATTATCCCTTGCCGTGAAAAATTACAGGTCTGACTATAGAGGCCGCTTTGTAGCCTGGGAGTGGGATATGGTCAGGAGGGCTGGGGTTAAGCCCCATCTTGAGCTGCACTAACAAATTCTCTGACCCTGATGAAATCTTCTCATCTCTGGACCTGTGTCCTCATTTGTACTGGAGCATGGACCCAGTGATCTCTAAAGACAAGCTTTTCCAGGTCTCTGACTGTATGAACTTGCTGATTGTAAGGACCCAGAGATCTGGAGGAGCTCCAGAGAAATGCAGGTGTTAGAAGCAAGGGGATGTGGGAGTTCAATTGGAAAGTTCAGGAGCCAGGGCTTATTGTGAAGAGAAATGAGCTACAGTCATGAAGAGAAACAAAGGTACGAGAGGAAGGCTGTCAGACAAGCAAGTATAGGAAGACATCTGAGGTCTGGATGAGAGAAATAGGAAAAAGTGTTCTAGTTGTGTTGCTTCAAGGACCCAAGCCCCGGACCAGGGTAGTGTTTTCTCTTCTAGCACTGCCTGGTCCACAGCTGACCTGTATACACCAAACTGCTCCTGCTCATATAGTCAGCCTTCAGGGGAAAGGACCCATCCCCGTAACATCTAATACATCTCTAAAGATTCCACCAAACTTCTAGTGCTTCCCATATCAGATTAGACTATCAGCTTACCCCAAGCCCTGGGGCAGCTCTATATGGAAAGAACTAGAAGGTTTAGGTGTTGGTTCTATAAAGCTGAGAATGACGGGGCAGGTAGGAGGTTGGAAGTCATAGCTCTTCTTAAAGAAAAAACTCAGGGGGTTCCCTGTCTCCAACCAGTTTACATTTATCCACTCAGCAATATCCAGGCTCGCAGAGAGAGCCCAAGCACAGACCATTCAGCAGTTGTCCTGCTCAGGGATACCCTTTAATGGAAACTTTAGGGATTGGTCAGGGGAATGGAAAGGGTGTCACACCAACAGGTGCAGAATGTTGGTTAGGGGCAGGAAAGAATCCCAAAGTAAGGAAAAGCTGAAGTTCACATGGGTTCCCGAGTTCTCTAGCAGGCAGGCAGTGTGGTCCCCTTGCTGATTCTGCAGAGCTGGGACACTGGTACAGAAGAAAGCAGCAAGCTCCTGCATGGGAGCTTGGACCCTCTACTTTGCCTTCTCTAAGCCATTTTGGTAAACTGGGAGGATGGGAAGGCAGACGAGTTAGAAACTGTGGGCTTTTCCTAATAAGAGATTACATATGGCAAAGTTTTCAGTTTTGTTTTTGAAGGAAAAAATGTAATAACATGGTTATACACAGAAGCTCTGGAGATCCTGAGTTCACAACCCTAGCTGTGCCATTTACCAGCGATGTGATCTTGAACAAATTACTGAGCTTTTCTGAGCGGTTTCCACATCTCTAAAACAGGGATAATATTTCTCAACTGATAGGGTTGTTCTGAAGATTGTAATGCATGCAAGACACCAGATTTGAGTAGATAAGTACATGTGAGCTATTACGATTGTTAATATGACATGACAATAGTGCAAACACATTAGGCAAGAGATTAGTATACACTGAGCCCCGACCTAGGCTCCGTCTCCATCATCCTTCTTTGGGCTCTTCATTGATGACTAAAAAGCGCATTGCTTGGTGGCTTCCAGGAGGTTCTTTCTTCACTTTGCTGGAACTTTGACCTGAAGGTGATCCACAAGTTGCATGAAATTCTTTGTTTTCTTCTTCACGTAAGGATGCTGTTTAAACCGGCACTTCTTTGAGGAGCGACTCGGGGTTCCTCTCTTTTGGCCATCTTCCTTCAAAGGACTAAAGCTTTGGAAAGGAGGGGCCTGGTAACATGCTCCATACTCTGTTCCAAATGCATGTATGGGCATGTATGCATGCACTCTCTGACTCGGTAATAAGAGGGGGATTCAGACATTTTTGAGAAACTAGTAATAGATAGAAAAGGATGTGGGGAGCTGGTTTACCTGGGAGCGGCTGTTCATCTGCATCAGGAACTGCTTCTTTTCCTCTTCTCCCTTCTAGAAGACTGTCAAGAAGGAGCCTGAGGGAGGAAGGTGGATGAATCATGGTCTTGGAGAAAAGGAAGTAGGTTCTCCACCCCTTCTGGAGGGAGAAGGAATAGCAGAGATCAACAAGGATGAAGATGGAGGCAAATGGAAAAGAGAAAATGAAGGTAAATACCCTATATATCAAAAGAAAAATGAAAGCGATGAGAGAGGGACAAGGAAAGAAAAAAGCAAAGAGCTTAGGAATAGGGTAAGAGGAAAGGAAAAACTACCAACAGAGGTTAACCAGGAAGGGAGACCTAAGGCATGATGGTGAATGGATAGAAGAGTCCAGCTTCCCCATTTCACTTGCTCAGGGTATGAACAGACTGCCATCTTCTGGTGCCATTTAATTACTAAGTGGCTTTGATTCTTGATTTGAAATGTTTTCCATTTCTTATATTCATAAACCTTTATCCTCAAGAGATCCTCAGCATTGTTTCATCTCTGGGGCTCCCAAAATCATTTTCCCCAACAGATATGCACCTGCCCAAAACTGTCTCAAAGTACCTAGACTGGAAGTCTGTGGGGGCAAGAGCAAAAAAGTATGGGGAAGAGGATGAACTGCAGTTTGAAAAAGGGTTTGGAATACCATCAGGCTGCAGCTGGTTGTGGGATGCTTCCTGGGCTCTGGAACATTTGTGTCAAAAACTGAAAGACCCATCCTCAGCCCCAACCAAATGTTGGGAGTACTGTGTGTTCTGAACTGTAGCACTCCAAATGTAGGTTGAAGAATGTGGCTTCTTATCTACACTCATGGATCATAAAATGTCAAAGCAAGAAGAGACTGTGAGAGATCACCTAGTTAAAATCTAATTTCCCAAGGAGGAGACTGGGGCCCAGAGACATGAAATAACTTTGCCCAAAGTAATACAGCTAGTCAGTGACTCTTTCCTCCCAAAGCAGAATCATGATAGTGATTCTTGTGATTCACTGTTTCTTGACAAATACAGTGCATAAAGTGCTTAAAGGTCATTAAAAGGCACTCCAGAAAGGTAAGGCTGGCATTTTTCTGGAAGCCCCTGAGTGTACCAGCTCCTCAGGTACGGCCTTATTTGGCTACAAGGACAGGCCTGGAGTTGGTTTAGCCTTCATTTTAATCCCCAGGGCTGCCTGGAGGAGGAGGTAGGAGCTCTGATTGCAGCCTGCCATTACTCCCCAGCCAGTCAGGGGGAAATGAAGCCCGGGATCGTCGGGAATGACAAGGGAATCCTGTCATAATGCCAGGGGCTGGGAAGCAATGGCCAAGTTCCTGGGACTTAAGCAAGGCAATTATGGCTGAGTATAAAACTAGGATGGGCAGCACTCAGGGACCTGAGGTGGCAACAGCGGGTAAGAAGAGGGAATGAGCTCGCAATCCAAATGACTTAAGCAGGGTGGACTCCTACTTCAAACAAAGTACCTCCTCAATCTCAAAGAGGTACCCTAACCATCTGCTTAAGTCTGACGAACCCACTTACTTTCTCCCAGGACTAGTTCACGGTATCACCATCAAACCCCAGTCTTTTGCTTTTTTCCTAATCCTTCCAGCGCCCTTTCTGGTTTCCTTTCTTCTATGCCTTGGGTTCCTATCACTCACATCCAACTCTGTTTTTCCACCCCGACCTCCCCCGACTTTCGTTGATTCCGCTCACTCCCCACACCCTTTTGATTTTTCCCATCCTCCTCGCCCTCCCCCACTTGACTCTCTTGGACAGCTCCCAGCCAATCTCCGTTTCTTTCATTCCTCCCCGCCAAATCTTCGGGCTCCCCCAGCCCCTGGGTGCCTTTGGTTTTCCCGCCGTCGACCCAGGCGTCTCAGATAAAGTGGATCCATCCCTGGGGCTCCGGGTTTCCGCCACTCCCGGGATGCTCGGGCCCTCGCAGAGCATAGTCACGGCCGCCGTTGTTGTCCCAGAACTCGTGGCCAGTCACGCGGTAGCGCAGGGCGAAAAGCAGGGCGCCCCCAATGGGTGGCGCGGGAAGGCGGAATGCGAAGCGGTCTGCGCGCGGCGGGGGCGGTGCCGGGCCGGCGTAAGAGGCGGGTGCCTCGCGTTGGCTCCGCCAGCCGTCGGCGCTCCAGCGCACGCTCACGCGCTTCTCGTACGCCAGGTCCAGCACGCGCGCGCTCCCGGCCACGCCCAGCGGGCCCGCCTCGGCGCGTTCCAGGCAGATGCGCTGCGCCTGCAAGCGGGCGGCAAAGCCGGGCTCGCTGGCCGGCTCCAGGGCGGCGCGCGCCTCCTGGGGGAAAGGGGAGGAGAGGGGAGAGGAGAAACGGGGGGCGGGGTCAGGACGCGGCACTGGGCCAGTCCGAGGCCGATCCCGGCGTGGGGCAGTCGGAGTGGAGCCCAGCTGAGAGAGTGGCCCCAAAAGGAATGAGCAAAACTAAGTCTAGGGTTGGGGAGGGACATGGGTGTTGCTTGATAAATCCTCTCCCACACGCCCACGGCGGCCGGCTCGGGGAGGTCCCGGGAAAGGGGCGTGCCGTTGCCGCCCGCCTACCTGGAGGCCGCGGGCGCGAGGCTGGCACGGCCCGAAGTGGCGGAGGGCGTCCCTCTGCAGCTGGATTTGCACGTGGCGGGGCACCCGGGGCAGCTCTCCGGGGCGGAAGCGGCGCACCGCGGCCAGCTCCAGCCCAAGCGCGTCGGCGAAACGCACTCTCTTACGGGTGTCCGGGCTGCGGCTGCGGGGCGCCCGGACCCCGCCGCCTCCGGCAGGTGCAGAAAGGGCCCGGCGACCCCGACTCGGAGCGTGAGCGCGGGATCGGGCCCCAAGGCGCGTCCCGCCCTCGCCTGGCTCCACCTCCGGCTCCTCCTCGAGGCTGGGCCGCTGGCTGCGGTAGTAGGCACGCTCTGTTAATGCGGCTATGAAGCTCAGATTGCGGGGGATGTCGGTGCGGGGGGGCCGCTCTCGAGACATGGCACCCCCCGCCCGGGCGGGGCAAGCCCGCAACGCCGCAGCGTTCCCCTGCTTTCCTCTGGCTTGACCGCCCGGCGTCGGCGCAGAAGCCGCCCCTTGCCGTTGCGTACTCTCCTTGCTGTTACCTCCAGGATCCTCCACCTCCTGTAGCTGTCACCCCTCCGTGACTACCTTCCCCTCCAACCTCCCCCCCGCCCCCGCTCTGACCGTCAGCTCTCAGGATTTTAGACCATCGTCTCCGGCCTCCTGCAAGCTGTCTGCTCTGAGCGTGCGCTCAGCGGCGCTCACCCTACAGTCCCGCGGCCCTCTCGGCCGGGCCCCCGCCCACAGTCCTCTGACAGGTGGCTCCCCATCTGTCTTTGCAGCGTACCAGGGGGCGGGGATCCACCTTCCGGTCCTGAGACCATTCAGGCTTTTTTTTTTTTTTTTTTTTTTTTTTTTTTTTTTTAACGGCTTCAACCTCTCTGGCATGGTTAGAGTTAATGCTTAAGGGAGGACAGAGTAACCTTTCATTTTCTTGCTAAGGATGGTTAAATATGCCCAGCGTGTGACTTTCTCTTCAGGACTCACCATTTTCTTTTCCAAACCCTAGGCTCCAGGTTTTGGAGGGGGCTTACAGGGAGTGCACAGAAGGAAAGGTCGTAAAAACTAGGTAGTGTCTCAAATAGAAACTAAAGTGTGGCCCTCAAAAGGATGTGTGGTCCATTAGAAAAGAGTTCTGAACTGAGTTGTCGGAAGACAGCTCTGGTCTCACCTCTGGTAGTATTTTGCTGTGTGACCTTGAGCATGGCATAATTTCTCTGGAACTCAGTTTTCTCATTTGTGAAAAAGTAAATTAGAGTTCTGATCTGTAATCCCACTGCAAGTCCTTTGAGGACAGAGACTGTGTCTGAGTCACAGTTTCAACACATAGTTGCAGCACATAGTAGGCTCTCAAATTATTGAATGAATGAATGAGCACACAACTCTCTTAAAGTTGGGACTGTGGAGTTCTAGTTCCACTGGGAGCTTTCAACAGGGGCACAGAGCTGGCTTTTTTTTTCTCCTTCATTTTGTTCTACATTAGTGAAAAAAAAAAGTGAAGTATTTTGTGTAGTTCTTTTTTTCCCCATAAATCCCCTACTGATTTTGTATAACACAATGTACGTACTAGGTACGCCTGTAAGAGTTTTGCAAATTTTAATTCCTGTAAGTCCCCATCAAAAGAGTAGGTTGTACTAGTATGCCTATTTTACAGGTGAGAAATTTGAAGAAGAGAGGGGCTGGGACTCTTGCCCAGAGTCACATAGGCAATGATTGAGGACCTGGGATTAGAACATCAGCAGTCCAGTGCTAGAGCCCACTCTTACCCACTTGGTTATATAAGATTAAAACATTTAGTAGTAATGGTTAACATCTTCAGAGTATTGTAATGAGGAATCTTAGAGTAGAAATGGAATCTCTAAATTTAAAACAGCAGAATAGTTTAACTGTAAAATTTCAAGTGACTAAGCTGGAAATAAACCATGAGACACATACTATCAGAGGCCCAACCCACTGAGCCACCCAGGCACCTCTCTTATTTGCATTTTAACTCCATTTTAACCTTAGGAATGCTAGTTAGCCAGGAATCATTTTTATTTTTTTTTAATTTTTAAAAAAGATTTTATTTATTTATTTGACAGAGATCACAAGTAGGCAGAAGGGCAGGCAGAGAGAGAGGAAGAAGCAGGCTCCCTGCTGAGCAGAGAGCCTGCGGGGCTCAATCCCATGACCCTGGGATCATGACCTGAGCCAAAGGCAGAGACTTTAAGCCACTGAGCTACCCAGGCACCCTGGGAATCATTTTTAAAGTAGTTTTATTTTCTGATTTTATACATGTATATATAATCCATGGACCTATCATTTTCCTATTTTATGGTGTAAAATAATGTTACACTAATTTGTGTTACAATCAAGCATTTAAAAACTGTCTTCCTTGGGTGCCTGGGTGGCTCAGTGGGTTAAAGCCTCTGCCTTCGGCTCAGGTCATGATCCCAGTGTCCTGGGATCGAGCCCCACATTTGGCTCTCTGCTCCGCAGGGAGCCTGCTTCCTCCTCTCTCTCTGCTTGCCTCTGTCTACTTGTGATCTCTGTCTGTCAAATAAATAAATAAAAATCTTAAAAAAAAAAAAAGAAAAAGAAAACTGTGTTCCTTGCTCTTGTAAGATATATCGTTGAGGGGCGCCTGGGTGGCTGAGTTGGTTAAGCATCTGCCTTTGGCTCAGGTCATGATCCCAAGTCCTGGTATCCAGCCCCACATTGGACTCCCTGTTCAGCAAGGAGTCTACTTCTCCCTCTGTCCCTTCCGTGCTCATGCTCCTTATATATCTCTCTTTCAAATAAAATCTTCAATATGTATATATTAATTAAAATATATATACATATATAGATAATTAAAGGAATAGATAAGGTTCAAAGTGGCCTATATGGCCTGAGGTTTTCTGATAAAAACACTTGTGCTTTGTCTATAGTTTGAGCTGCCATTCCTTGGCTCCGTGGTGTTGGTCTGAGAAGATCCTTGAGGTACACAGCTTTGGACCAGGTATAATTTGTGTTGGCCTAGCAGTTCTGTTCTGGCTGTTCAGGCTGACATTGAACCTTTCTTCCAAATCAATGTTTCTTTTCTTTCTTTTTTTTTTTTCTCCCTCTTCACAGTTCAGTCTTTGTTCTTAAATAGCCACTACAGTTATCTTCAAACATCAGAGTAGGCTTACAGTACGCACTGAATGATTTGTTCAGTCAACATTTACTGAGGGTCTATTAGGCCTGAAGGGCATAACAGTGAATAAAATTCCATTCCTGCTTTCACAGGGTTTATAAATAAAATGGGAGGGCAGACAGAAATATACTTAGATCCTGAGACCTAAAAGTGTTGTTATTTCAGTTAAGTGTCTCAGAAGAAATCAGTATTGCAAAAGAAGGAATGCACCAGGTTATTCTCTGAATAATGCAGCAAGGCAGACTTGCTGGTGGAAGCTAGAATGATCAGCCCAAGAGCAAAGAAATAAGGAGGATGATTGAAAGATACAGTCATAAGGTGTGCAGTCTGCTGTGCCTTCAGAATGGAGGGGATGACTGATTTTGGACTCATAAATGTCATAACAACATAGATTACCTGAAGCAGAGAGATGACCTTCTAGCAACGCACTTAAAGTTAAGACAAACTTTACAGTCAGACAAAGTTGAGTACCAGTTTCTGAGTATATGGCTTTGGGTAAATAACCTCTCTAAGCCTCACTCTTTTCACCTATAGAATGAGACTAAAACAGCTTAGGGATTGGATTGAGGATAAATATGCATGTAAAGAAAGCACCTAGCACCTAATAAGTCCTCAAAATGTATTAGTTGTTACTATTATTTTTTTTTAAGATTTTATTTATTTATTTGACAGAGATCACAAGTAGGCAGAGAGGCAGGCAGAGAGAGAGAGGAGGAAGCAGGCTCTCCGCTGAGCAGAGAGCCCAATGGGCTCGATCCCAGGATCCCAGGATCATGACCTGAGCCAAAGGCAGAGGCTTTAACCCACTGAGCCACCCAAGCGCCCCAGTTGTTACTATTATTGTTACAGAAACAAACTTTCTTCTCCAGAGACTGTAAGGGCAGGTAGGAATATCAAGGCTTGGACCCCAGGTAGAAGCAAAGGGAACCAGCAGGAAAGGAAAATTGGGTTGCCTCTTTCTAGCCTTTGGTTGGAGGTCCCTCCAAACGGAGTGGAAGGAAGTGCCAGTGCAAGAACCAGTGGGGCCCAGTCAGAATGCCTGAGAGAGCCCTCCTGAGGATCACCTGTGGTCACACTGCTTCACATCCTGTGAACTGCCCTGTATAAATAATAGACATACCTATATGTATGTGTGTGTACACATACATACATACACACACATATAAAATCTGAAACGGTAACCATCAAACTTGACCTTGGTTGGCATCCTCCAGAAAGGGAGGCAGAATGGAGCAAGGGGTGGAAGGCGGGAGATTGAGGACTTGTATTTGTTCCCCTTATACCTCTATATTGTTTGAACTTGTCATAATGAGAATAAGTCCATGTGTGGGGTAAAAAGAATGAAAAAGAAAACCAACCTGATTACAAAAAAATGAAAGAAGGTAAAGAAAGGTTACCTGCAGAAACTACTTGCGGTCCAAGTCTTGATGCCTGGCTAAAGCCCCAGCCCGCAAAGAGACTACTGGGTTAAAGGTCCTGGAGAAAAGAGGGAGTGAACTGTTCAGTGTCCGTGTCGTGTCTGCCAGTCCCACAGGGCGAGACACCTGGCAGGCAGTTCCCACTGGAATGGGAACTACTCCTCTAATCCGGGCATCCACTCCAGGGCTGGAAAAAATTCAACAAGTGCATGGAACATCAGAGACCTTCTGGAAATGGTCAATTTGCTCCGAGGTTTCCTGAGGTCTTGCCGGCTTCTCTGGGCAGCCTTCAGTCACGGGAGCCCAGCCTGGCCTTCTGTGTCCTCTCTGCCCTGCTCTTTCTTCATGGCCTACAGCGGCCCTCTCTCTTCCGGAGTTGTGGCCCTTCCCAAGCTTGCTTCCCAGCCCCGCCCCTCTCTCTGGACGCATCTCTGGGCCCCATCATCACCCGGCGCCGGGCCCTCCCTCCCGCCACCCCCCCCTTTCTCCTCCCTCCTTCCTTCCCTCCCTTCCTCCCTCTCTCCCTCCCTCCCAGCTCCTGCACCAGGAAACGGCCCGGATCCTGGCAGCGGCCTGACCCGTGAGATCCCTAACCTGGCAGGCAGGCGGGGTTGGAGACTTGCTGAGGGTGGGGGTGAAGGAGGAGCTGGGCTGTTGGACTGCACTGGGGGGAGCCGGGAGTAGAGATGGTGTCGGCAGGAAGCCCTTGGCCCTGGGTTTCCCGGGAGGACAGTCATTAAACATGGATTCGGCCACACAGCTGGTAGAATGCTGGGGGCAGGGGCCGGTCCGGGAAGCTGCAACCCCAGCCTTCTCAGTCCAGACCCAGATCCCTGGCCTTCCCCGCCTAGCTCTGCTCTCCCCCTCCCCTTCCCAGGGCTCCACGCTGGCCAGGAGGATGAAAGGCCCCAGCTGGGGGCTCCTTGCCACCAGCGCTGGGTCCTAAGAGCTGCCATCCAGGCTGGGTGAGTGTCCCCTTCCTTCTCTGTCCCGGACAGCCCTTTGCTTCTCCCACCTTTCCCTTCAGCCCCTGTCTCCTCCCCCATCTTGTGCCTTGGCCAGCATCCTCACATCTTCCCTCTGGGGAGGTACTGAGCCCCTTCCTTAAGCCAAA